ATATATATATATAATTTCAAAGCAAAAGTTTTAAGCTAAAAGATATGAAGATACATTTTATTTTTAGAAGATTAATTTTGATATAGTGCTAAAATGAACTTGAGAAAAGCTGGTATTGTAGAAATCCAGAGATGGCTGTCTTGAAAGACAATGATGGGATGAGGATTGGTAAAAAGCAGATTCTAGAGGCATTTGGAAGACTGAATCTACAGGACTTGGTGATACGAGAGTGAGGAGGGAGTAACTGAGGATAACGCTCCAGTATGAATCTGCTGATGGTGAGCAAGATGTATGCTCTGCCTGAAGGCTTTTCCACATTCTTTACACTCATAGGGTCTTTCTCCTGAATGGATTCTTTTGTGTAGTGTAAGATGGGCGATCTGGCTGAAGGCTTTGTTACATTCCTTACACTCATAAGGTTTCTCTCCGGTATGAATTCTGTGATGTAGAGTAAGGGACTTTCGGTGGCTGAAGGCTTTGCCACAAACACTACAGTCATAAGGTTTCTCACCAGTATGACACCTCTGATGACAAATCAGGGACGCCCTCTGTCTGAATGCCTTCCCACAATGAAGACATTCATACGGTCTTTTGCCATTGTGGAGTCTCTGATGTTGAACAAGGTATGAGCCATCACTAAAGGCCTTCCCACATTCAATACACTTGTATGGCTTCTCGCCAGTATGAACTCTTTGGTGCTGAATAAGGTGTGCAATCTGGCTGAAGGCCTTACCACATTCCTGGCACTCATAAGGTTTCTCTCCACTGTGTACTTTCTGATGTTGAACAAGGTGTGCATTCTGGCTGAAGGTCTTGCTGCATTCCTTACATTCGTAAGGCTTCTCTCCTGTATGAATTCTGTGATGATGAGCAAGGTGTGTGCTTTGCCGAAAAGCTTTCCCACATTCCTTACATTCATACGGTTTCTCTCCAGTATGAACTCTTTGATGAAGAGTAAGTGAGCCACGGTGGCTAAAGGCTTTCTTACATATATTACACCTATAAGGCTTCTCTCCTGTATGAATTCTCTGATGTACAGTCAAAGAGGAGCCATAGCTAAAAGCCTTACCACACATATTACACTTGTAAGGTCTCTCTCCGGTGTGACTTCGCTTATGCTGGATAAGTCCTATGTGATCAGTGAAAGCCTTCCCACAGTCAATGCAATCAAAGGGTTTCTCTCCAGTATGATGATATCGCCGATGACGTATAAGAGAAGCATTCTGTCTGAAAGCTTTTCTACAGTCAATACACTCATAGGGTCTTGTCCCAGTGTGAATCCTACGATGATGAGCTAGGGATGAACAGTCACTAAAAGCCTTCCCACATTCAGTACATTCATATGGTTTCTCTCCAGTGTGAACCCTCTGATGTTGAGCAAGGTGTGCAAGCTGGCTGAAGGCTTTATTACACTGCTTACACTGAAAAGGCTTTTCTCCAGTATGAACTCTCTGATGTTGAATAAGATGAGCATTCTGGCTGAAGGCCTTTCCACATTCATTACATTCAAAGGGTTTTTCTCCTGTGTGTATTCTCTGATGTTGAACAAGGTGAGCACTCTGGCTAAAGGCCTTTCCACATTCAATACATTCATAGGGTTTCTCTCCAGTATGAATTCTCTGATGAAGAGTAAGAGTTGAGATTTTGTTGAATGTTTTCTCACAGTCGTTACATTTTAAAAGTTTCTTTTCTCCATAAACTTGCTTGCATTTTCTCACAACCGAATGTGTTTTCATAATTGTATCAAAATTATATATTCTCTCTTCCATGGGAAAAATCTGTTTTATATAAGATAATGTACTCAGTTGAAAATCTGTCCCAGATCTGATAGGGTGATCTGTTTTCTCAATAAGGTTATCTATATGAGTGATCATCTCTTGCTTCAAGCATGACTTCTGACTTATTGGCTTACTCTCAAACAAGTCCTCACATTTCAAGTTTTCCCCTAATGTGAAACAGCTTGTAGGTTCTTCCTTGGATAAATTTTCTTCATAAATATCCTGGTTTGAAGATAATTCCTTGAACAACCACATATATTTCAAGTCTGAAAGACATTAAGAAAGCAAATGTATCTTTTATTAAATGCTAAAAGAATGGAAACTTCCAACATGAAACCATATGAATTGACTACTAAGGACACAGAAGGTATGTTTTTGATATTTCTTAAGTCAATTTAGATGACACAAGCATCCTTGCATTCCTAGACTAAACTCGTTTCCCATGGTATATTAAATTATGTTAACTTTTACCTAAGATTTTGTTCCTATATTTGTAACTGAAATTCATAATTTCCTTTGATCTTCTTTTTTCTAATTCATTTATTTCTACTTTCATCTCTACAGATACAAGTCATATTATATAATTTATTTTGTTAAGAACATACAAGAGGTAATCAAAACTATGTTAAAACATTTTGAAGACGTTATAGTAAAAGATATACTGGCAAGAACAAGGGGACAAATGTGTTCAAAGTGAGAGGAAATATTTTCAAGGGATTAATGGCAATGTGTCTTCTACTGCAATAATTTTTCTATTTAAACATTTACCATATCTTTAAACACCCAATCATTGAACAAATGTTTATGGCAACTCCTCTCAAGTAAAAACATCATGGTATGCCCTCAGCCACCTTACTCACTGGATCTACAGTCACGCATCTGTGCTCAAAATTACCACAAAAGATTAAAACATTTTCAACTGATTCAGGATACTGAAGTAGCTACAACAGTACAACAACTACAGATATTCAGAAAGCAGAAATAATCCAGGAGTTCCAGAAATAATTCAGGAGGTAGCAAGAAGGATGAGATAAACATGTTCAAAGTGAGGGGAGATATTTTGAGGGGGATCCACAACAATGTGTCTTTTACTGTAATAAATTTTTTTAAATTTAAACATTCAATGTATTTTTTCACACCTCATAGCTATAATACATGTTAAGACAATAAACTCACCTTTTAAAGAAAGGAAAATATTTAAAATAGTTGAAAAAAATGGAGTTTTGTCTAAACAATTCAGAAATGTTTAAAGTCAGGGATAATTATCATATAGTACTTGAGCAGTACTAGGCAAACAATGAATGAGCAGGAGTTCAGAAAACACATCCTGGTACATAAGGGAAATCAACACAGGTGCTAGTATTCAAAAGAGAACCATTCAATTTGGGAGCAAATTTAGGAGGTGTTTTCCAACAAATACCAGAGCAAGAAATTTTTAAGAATATTTTCTCCAACTCTAGTTATCCTGCACTCACCTGGGCATGGATTTCTTGATGTCTCTCCTGGTATTACCCAGGGATCCTTCTCTTGCTCCAACAAGGAAATCACATCTGGTTTAGAAATACAAAGACCTGCGTGGAAGACATGAAAGTTGGGCATGCTGTAGGTATTTAAGAGATAAAACCAAATTTGAATGGTCTTACAGGAGAATATTGAAAGGAAAATGCAAGTAAGGAATAAAAGTCTGCTGAGTCACGGGGAGACAGAAGGAAGAATACTACCCTTACCTACTGAAACCAAGTTACTGTAGTTCTCCAACATCACCTTCCTGTACAAACTTCTCTGAGCAAGATTCAGCCACTCCCACTCATCCTGGGAGAAGTCTATGGCCACATCTGTGAAAGTCACTAAGCCCTAAAATGACACAAATATAATCTCACTCAATCTCCATAAGGCTCTAGGTAAAGGGTTATAATGTTCTCACTATGGAATAAAAACCTTGTCAGTAATTGGACCAAGGGTCTAAGTGGTCCGAGTCAGAAAGTTACTAAACAATTTTCTGCCTAATTATAGTGCATATACTAGAAGAAACTGAGACATTTTTCTGGTCTTCGCTTACAATTCTATGATACAATTACATTCTCATACAAAAATGCATTGACTACATTCACATAGAATATAATCAATGACTAAACTATGTATCCATGTTAGGAGCTGGATTATTTCCCCACATGGAGAATTTAAAGAGCTCTGGAAATGTGAGGGAAAGTTTCAAGAACAATGCTAACCTGATAAACATGATTTCAATCTCCAAAATATTTTCTAAGAAACCTTAGTGTTCTTGAGATGTTAAGAGCTGTGCCCCAAAAAAAGAAAGAAAAAATTACTTAGCAAAATTTGTATGAGGAAAGAACACATTTGGAAATTATCTTTATATAGTCTTCTAAGTACCAAGAGAAATCATGCAATGATTGGTCATTAAAAATGTTCTGTTAAGTTTGAAAAACTCTAATCTACAAGAAATGAAAAATAGGGATTTAATTAAAGAACATAAGTAGAAATGAAAGCAAAAATTCAACAACAAGAATATCCCAACAAGGCCAGGCATGGTGGTACACGCCTGTAATCCCAGCATGCGGGAGGAGGAATGCCACAAGTTTGAGGCCAGCCTGGGCTACACAGTGAGTTCAAGGCCAACAAGCTTGAATTGCACAGTAAGAGTCTGTCTCAAAAAATAAAGATTACTACAAAGCCCTCAATTAAACAGCAAATCTGGCAACAATATACCTATGGAATAACAAAGGGTTAAATGGATTGTGGTAGTCATTCTAGAAAGAAAAAAGGATGTAGAACTTTGACTGACATTTTAAGATGCTCATGGTTCCAAGGAAGTCATGAGGGAAAGCTTTGAATACTGTGGCTAAAATGACACTTGTCCCCTCTTTACCTGTAGATCTCTACTTCCTTCAAGATGCAACTCAGAAATTCCTTTGTCTAAGAAGGCCTTCCAACCCCTCCTTTTAGCAGTGAGCAGGGTTATGCAGACCATGTTCTGCACAAGGATCCCGCACCAAGGAGACAAAAAGGAGCTAATGTAAAATAGACTACTTCTTGCAGACTGTGTGTCCCAGAGCGTCACTAGTCCAGAGGAAGAAGCAGCTTTATATCTAATGCACCCAAAGGCAGGTGGTCTATAAATGACCCTTCCCTACTGCTGCACAACAAATTTGAGCCACGACAGAGACTCAGAGGCCAGGCACACAGTGGCATTCAAATTTTCTCCAAAGTCAATACTTGTGCTTTGTCAGACACGTAGGAAAACAGTGAGGAAAAAAAATGAAGGGCTCAGACTGAACTATTTCTTGAATAAAAAAATAAACACCAAGTAGGAAGAGTTAAAAGCCTCTGAGAAGGCACTGGACAGTTTGAATCTATGTCTGTGTTCCCATCATCCAACAAATATGAAGGAAATCAGAAACAGGTCCACAGTATAACTCTTAAATTGACAATTTTCAGAAGAAAATAGTACCAAATCCTGAAAAGCAAGACTTTTAGTGGGAAGAAATACTAACTCACCAGGGACATGGCTTGAACCAGTTCAATTCCTGTCACCTCCACCTCTTCCTCACTCTTCACGTGGAGAAGAACGCTACCCTGACAGCATAGAGCTGAAGGACAAAGGAATTATAAGACCAACGAGCACTAAAAATACAGCATATAAACTCTCTCATCCAGTTTTCAATTTTTACTTCCCCTCAACCCCCACATACCAAGTACTCATTGGGAAACCAACTTATAACTGGTATTTCCCTCCACTCTAGGCTTTCAAGCTAAACACAATGACTCTCAAAGTCAATGTATCAGCAATATGAGGTATGCTGTGTACATTATATATTTATAACATATTTACATATATATATGAAACTCTCTTCGAAATCTCCAAAGTTGCAAATATTGTCACCATGTTACAAATAAAATCTCTGGGCGGTGGAAACTTCTGTATAAATTATACAGGGTGGTTTTTTTTTGTTTTGTTGTTTGGTTTTTGGAGACAGGGTCTCACTATTTAGTTGAGATTGACCTGGAACTCACTATGTAGCCCAGGCTGGTCTCAAACTCACAGCGATCCTCTTGCCTCAGCCTCCCGAGTGCTGGGATTACAGGCGTGCACCACCACACTTGACTACAGGGTGTAACAGAAAGAAAAAGTCATCAACCTATATCTGTTTGACTCCACCATCCAAGTTATTTGCCCAGGTAAACATCAGAAAATATGACCCCTGCACTACAAGGCAGGATCTGTAAAGAAAGACTCTATGAGACAAATTTCTTGGAGAATCTCATTATGCATGGACAAAAAAGCCTTATCTTTAATACAATAGATGGTCCCTAAGGATTACAGATAAATGGACCAAAAAATTGTCATGAGACCTAGGTTTTCATTTTGCTTCCTGACAAATTACCATTTTGATGAAGTCCTATGACCACCCCATCCAAGCTATTCCTTTTAATCAGAGGTTAAATTGAATTTTGCTTTCTTCCAAATTCCACCACCTTCTCAAAATTTATAATTATGATAATAAAACTGAACACATATTGAGAATTATATAGTTTAAGAGAGCCCCAACCTTGCTCAGTAGAGATAATGGGATCTGAAATCCTGAAGTTATTTAATCTGAGTTGGTTTGTTCACCTGTTCAAAGTGGTTTAGAACACCTACCCTCCTTCTTCAGAGGATCAGATGATAGCCTGTCCTGAAGGAGACTCTGGAGACAGCTCGTCCTGAATCTGAATCCTAGTTCTTCCACCTACTAGTGATTATTTTTTTTCTGTGAGTTTCAATGTCCTTATCTGTAAAAAAAAAAAACAAAAAAAACAAAACAACAAAAACACAAAACAAGCTAGTTACTAGGAGGTAACCAGGAGGACACAGAGACAGCCACAACAGCGCAACTTAAGGCATTCTAACAGAGGACTCCCAGGACCGCCTCCGGAAGTGGCAAGAATCATGGGATAGTGTGGACAAAGGAAGAGGGAGTATCTTGAGGGGGCCTGATAACAATGCCTCTTTTACTGCAATAATGTTTTAGTTTAAATATTCGCCATATTTGATCACCCCTTGTTCTAATTTGGTAAGGATTAGAGTTAATACTTCAAAAAGGTTTTAGATCTGTGTCTGACACACAGAACTCCTAAAAATTACCTATTCTGACTGCATGCAGTACAGCAAGCAAAAAACAATACAGGCATGGACAGCAATTCTTCCTCATCCTCTCTAATGACTAGAAAAATTTCAGAAATGGGGTATTTTTCTTGCACTAACTAGGTGATTAGCCATAAAAAGAATGGAATCCCTCACCACTTCTAGATGAAGCTGGGACTGGTCTCCTACCTCCCAAGTACCATCCCAAGGAGACAGATAGAATCTAACCTAAAAAGTAAACGCTGAGATCTTTAAAGAGCAGCACAGCACCAGCAGCCCTGTTCCGCTGGAGAGCACTCTCTCCGCTGAAACCCGAGATCTTGGAAGTGGGTGGGCGAGGGCCTGCTTAAGGGACTGCGGGCGAGCTCGTCCCCTTCTGAACTCAGCTTCACACCAGGCCGAGGTGACCTCCGACTCTGACTCCAGCTCCGCCAGGCTCGGAGGCCGGGCATTTAGCCCAGGCCTCAGACCCACAAGCACAGCGCCCCAAACGCGCACGGTTCCAGCAGCTGCTCCGGGGCGCAGAGGAGGAAGGGTGGCCCTGAGCCACTTCACCCTTCACGCAGCTTAACACCGTCCTCACGCGCCGCTGGTGATGACAGCAACCGGGCAAACTCGCGGGTCCACACACGTCACGCCTGCTTCCCAGCCGACCAGGACACCGCAGCCGCCCGGCGACCCCTAGTCCTCAGCGCTCTCAGGAGTCCCGAACTCAACTTCCTGCCCGCGCCGGAAATGGCCGAGTCCTCACCGCAAGGGCCCCTGGGAAATGAAGTCTCCTGTGTGCGCCGAGCAAAGAGAATCCCTGTGAACCCAAGTGTCGTGGTCCTCTGTTCTGTTGGTCTGCTGTCCTCGTAGCCCTTTCTCTGTCGCCCTGCTAGGAGAGTTCCAAGCAGGCACAGTTTCATCCCGGTTCTGGGTTATATTCCGAGCGACTCAAAATACATAGATTTTTAGTTTTAAAATACTTAGCGTTAGCAGCCTAACGGAGACAGCTTGTTAGAGACTGTATTCTCCCAATTATCAGATGCTGAAGTCCTCGTCTCCAATGTGATGCTATTAGAAGGAGGGGCCTTTGGGAAGTAAAGGGGTTTTCATTAGTTCGTAAGGGTGGGGTAAGAGGCAGGGGAAGGCCAGGCGACAGCACAGCAAGCTGGAAGCCAAGGGGATGGCCCTCCCCAAGACTTGAATCTGCTGGCACCCCTGAGCTTGACTTCCCAGCCTCCAGAACTATGAGAAGGCGCACTCCTAAAGTTACCCGTCTGTGTCCTTCGTTATAAGCCTCAGCCGTCCAAGACCCGGCATCACAGATACTAAAAGGTCTACTACACAGTAGAAGGTCACCTGCCCAGACGTAATCACTTTCGCCCACGCAGTCACACTGGCTTTTCTGGATCTGATTTCCCTCATTTTTCGTAGACTTTGTAATAAAGCTAATGTTAGCTGTGAGGATGCTTTATGTAAGGGATCATAAACGGCATGTGAGTGTGTGTAATATTTTTATGGTTATTTGACTTGGATAAAAATTATACTGATATTTTTGTTTTAGTTGTGAGATATAAAAAGCTTGGAAGCCTTCACTCTGATTCTCACAGAAAAGCATTCAACAAACTGAAAATCCACAACCTTTCTTAGATCCATCAGAGGACACAAAGGAAATAACCACCCTGAAATCATAGCCAAGACCAGCTTACCTTAAAGAAGATGTTGCTGGAGGCATAAAATGTAATGAACTCTGCTATTTATTTATTTATGTACTGGGGACTGAACACAGGGCCTTAACGCTGAGCTATAACTCCATCCCTTTTTATTTTTTATTTTGAGTCAAAGTCTTTCTAAATAGCAAGCCCAAACTGGGCTTGAACTTTTAATTCTCCTGCCTCAGTCTACCAGAATGCCGGTATACATGGGCACAACGCCATACCCAGCGGTATGAACTATTAATTGATAATTTTGATGACTTGTTAAGGGCTTAATGCAGTCCAGCTTTTGAGTTCAAAACTCCTGAAGGTCCAAGATTAGATACTCCCCCACACTTTCATCAATTTTACCTCAAGGACCCTTATCAGTTACTCAGAGAAATTGGAGAGGTACAGGGAGGGGAATTGAAACCATGTTGAGAAATATGCAGACCATTTTCCATAACAACTACCTGCACTCCAAGGAAAACTGCTTACTGGAGTCTCACTGAACTTTTGGGAGAGAAAATTGGCCATCTCCAATATACCTAGCCTGGCTGCCTCAGTTGTTTCCTTTTCCTGTCAGGTCTGCAGAACTTCCTTTTTATGTTTTTTGTTGCTTTGCTAGCAATAAATTCATAGCATTTCTTTATCTGAAAATATAAAAGGATTTTATTTTAAAAGGGTTTTCTCTGAATATAGAGTTCCAAGTTGAAAAGCTTTATACCATAATTTAAAAACTGTCATTCCACTATCTTCTGATTATGAAAATCCAGTCAATATTCATGTCATTGCTTCTGTTTGCAGGGTTGATTTTTCAGGTGCTTTTCATCTTCTGGTTTCAGCAGGCTCATAACGATGTGACAAAGGTATGGTTTTCTTTGTATTTATCCTATGTGATATTTTGCAATATTTCTGAATGTGGAAATTTGTAAGTTTTTCTCCAAAGTTGGGAAAATTGTAGACAAAATTCAAACAGGATTCATATCCATCTAAATACATGTGTTTAGGACCTTTTAGCATTATCATAAGTCATTGAAACATTGGTAAGTTCTTTTAATTTTAAAAAAATATCTACTTATGTTTATTCAACTCCATTGATTTTTCCTCCTCTGATTTCCTGTTAAACCTATCCAATAAATTTTTTTTTGTACCAGGGATCGAACTTGGGTCCTTGTGCTTGAGAGGCAGGCAGAGGAACCACTGAGCTAAATCCCCAGCCCGCCAATAAATGTTTACTTTCAAATATTTCTCTGTTCTAGGATTGTTTCTGAATTCATTTATTCATTTGATGAAATTCCTGTCTGGTCATTAACAGCATGTTTATATTATTCAGGATATCCATATTATTCAGAATAATTATAATATTGTATAATATTCTATTATACAATATTATATTGTTTGCTAATTCCAATATCGGAGTTATCTCAGGATTGGCCTCTTGCTTTTTCTCCTGTATATGGCATGTATTTTCTTGTTTTTCATATATCTAATGATTCTCTTTATTTGAATGATACTGTAGAGACTGTTACGTTTTTGCAAAGAGTAATGACATTTTTTTGGTAGCGTGCAGTTCAGTTGGGTGAATCTAACCTCAAGACTCTTGTCCCCCTGAAGTAGGTACTGTGGAATCCTTTACTTTGTCCCCTCAGCCTTTGCTGGGATGCTTGGAGTCCGTACAATACTTAAAGGAGGGTATACACAGAAATCTGAGCTGGGGGAGGCTTAAAGAATAGTGAAGGAAACTATATTAGAATCTAGAGGGAAAAGGTTCTTGTTGTAAAGTATCTGAAAGTTTAACTGATGTGGGCAGAACGGATGCTCAAGCTAAGGAGATTTTGAGGAAAGACTGTTAACAAGGAACCAAGACATTTGGGTTTTGAAAATTTTCAGCTTCTGTAGATAGGAAATGATACTAAAATAAAAGAGAAATATTTTCCAAGCAAAGAGAAAATCCATGGTACAGATAAGAAAGCTAATTTAGGGAAGGGAACTAAGAATATGACTATAAAATATTTTGTTAGAACTTCAGAAAGACCAATGAGTACTATGTAATCGCACAAAAGCTCTCCAAAAACATTAAGGGGAACAATCACAGGTACTCTCATTCAAATACTGCACATAGGTTTCTAAGAAGCTTATCTACAGAGATGTGTGCCTATGGTCAGGGTCTATTGCAATGAGACTCATGTGAATTTATAAAGTTTTAAAGAGAATCAGTTCAGGAGAAACACTGGTGTCTTAGAGTGAAAGAGACACAGATGAAACAAAATTGAGAGACTGCTGAATTCCCAAAATTCTAATGTCAGCATGCAGTCAGAAAACGCTTGAATTACAAACATTTTTTATGAAAAACAGCTATGCAGGGAATAGAACCAAGAGCCGAAAAGGCAGAAAATTATTCATAGGCCATGAGGCCTAATCAATGCATTTCCAAACATGTAATCAGTTGCAGAGCTACTGTGGGTCCATGTATCCACTGAGCTGGCTGGGATTTGCATGTGCAGGTAGTGTGTTCTTTTGGGATTTTTTTTTGATACTGGGGATTGAACTCAGGATCTTGAGCTTGTGAGGCAGGTGCGTTGCCACTGAGCTAATCCCAGGCCCACTTGTTCTTTTATTCGCAAAGCCCTATAGATGGAGAGGAACTGCAGGGTAGAAACCATACCACTCGTGCCTCATCTGCACCGGGGCCTCTTCTGATGATTCTTGCCTCTGAGACCATGCTGTGATGAAGGTAGATTCTGGGAAAAGCCTTGGGATGAGGAAGTGAATTTGGTACATGGAAGGGACCCAAACTACTTGGGCAGGGCAGAGGCCAGTCACTGGTAGACAGCATTTATCATGGTTCCCAGTGATTCCTACCTCCTGGTATTCATGCAAGTATACAGTCCCCTCTTCTTGAAAGGGCTGGACCTAGTGATTTACTTCTGATAAACCACATACAAGCATGAAAGAATGTCACCTTTAATATTAGGATGGAAAATGGCTTCAGCTTCCTTCCTGGGTCCCCTCTTCTGCTATCAAGGAAGTCGCTTGTTCTATTTCAAGCTGTCCTACAGAGAGCCACGTGGAAGGGACTAATGTGCCCAAAGCCACAAAGGAGCTGAGGCTGCCAAGAGCCATGTGAGTTTGCTGGTGATTCTCTTCGAGAACGGCCTTCAGATAACTGTAACACTGGGCGACAGCTAGACCACAGCCTTGTGAGGCCCTGAGCCATGGGCACCCAGCCAGACCACGCTTGGGCTCCTTACATAAAGAAATTGTGAGAGTGAGTTAAGCTACTAAAAGGTAACCTGTTACATAGCAATAGATAACACGCCATCGCAGCTTTTATTCAATGACTCAGTGAAAGATTTTATCAAAGAAACCACATTGATTACAACTACAGCTTTTATAATTAAAGCCCAGATAGCAATACCTTACTGCAGCAAACATCTATTTCTCACCACACATTAATCTGCTGCTGATGTCCCTGGGTGACAGGGATTTCCCCCAAATAGTGGCTTAGGGACACAGAGGTTTTCCATCTTTTAGCTTTGTCATACCATACGGTTCAGATTCTTCTCCCAGCTGGACAACACGTCCTCCTCTGAATACCAAAGCCCAGAGTGACATATCATTTTTGTATTTACTCCACAGTGAACAAAAGTAATCAATTAGCTACAAACGGAAACCAGCATGGCTGGGTGATGTAGGATGTGCTGGCAGCCACATTGCAAAACCAATTGCAGGGAGCAGAAAAGGAAGCACAAACTCCTACTGACCACCCAGTCACACCATAGGGAAACTGCAACCTGGGTCCGACCACTGCAGGGGTTTGTGGCCTCTGTGGACCTGGGTAAGAATCCCCCACAAGCCCTCTCTGCACTAACACAACTCACTAGAACCCCGCTGTGGAAATGTCCTGTGGTTTTAGTTGGACCCACTAGAGTGCCCAGTCTTGCTGCCAGTAATCAGCGTGAGACTTCAGTGCCAAACCACGAAGTGTGTGTGCGTGTGTGCATGCGGGCGCGGAACCTGGGCCTCGCACATGCCACACACAAGCACTGCCACTGAGACGCGCAACCTCCCTCCCCACCATGGAGCATTTTTAATTAATATACCTCAGTGCGTTTTCAACTCTGAGGGTCAGTAGGGGGGAAATATCACAAAACAGAACACTTCCGAGTTCTGAGCGCATTTGGACCACTCTGCTCCTTTCTCACAGTTGGCTGCTGCTCTGTAACTCAGCCACTGCAAATCCTGTTCCCTACAGGTACCAGGTACCCTTTCCAGAGCAGTCCCTTCCACAAGGAGCCTCAGTGCCCAAAAGAGGGAGCCCTGGGACTTTCATGAGAGGCAGAAGGGCTGCGGAGTCCTCAAGGGATCTGGAAAAGGGTGAGTGAGGGCCATAGACAAAAAATGATCTGACAAGGGCTGGGAGTTCAGCTCAGTGGTTCCGCTGCCTGCTTCACACGTGCAATGCAGGACCCCAGTTCAATCCAAGAAAGAAAGGAAAGAAGGAAAGAAAGAAAGGAAAGAAAGAAAGGAAAGAAAGAAAGAAAGAAAGAAAGAAAGAAAGAAAGAAAGAAAGAAAGAAAGAAAGAAAGAAAGAAAGAGAAGAAAGAGAGAAAGAAAGAGAGAAAAAGAAAAAAGCTGACCCAATCTTGTGAATCCTTGGTTTCTCCCAATCCTTATATATTATGGAAAATAATTAACTCAAACATATTCTGAAAAATGTTCTCTCAATTTTCAATGGCTTAACTGGTAAAGGCTTAACTGGTAAATATTTCTGGGTGAAATGAATCTACCTTTCTGTGTTTCACACCACAGGTTAATTTCCAACTTTCTGTTTACCGAGTAAGCAATACTGTTGAGGGACAACTGAGTTTTCAGTCACAAGGGCAGTGTGGAAAGTGGGTTGCGAGTGGGGTTTCTAAGGGGGGGGTCAAAGTTTTCTGAGAAATCATCCCTGCTGGGGGTGCAGCAAGCACCACAGCTCAGACACAGCGACTGCAGCTCCACGGCTAGAACCAGTAAGAGATACTCCCAACAATCACAAAGACCCTGGAACCTTTCATATCAACTATCCAATTTCATTACTAACACGGGGACAGCATTCGCTGACACCCATAGTTTTTCTAGGTGCCATCCGCCGATGAGACACAATGGACTTAGGATCCTGCTGTACCAGGGACCGCCTGCCCTTGAATAAAACGGCGTAGGAGCTTCTCTCTCTTGAACTAGCTGGCTCAACAATCTTCACTACCCTGCTTTTCTACAGCCTGACAATCACCCTCTAGTATCAACTTTCGTATTGGTTTGCTTTCTTTGGTTGAGAACAAAAGAGCTTAACTTTAATTTAAAATTAGAAATTAAGCACCAGAACTGAGAAAACCAGGATGTGACAAAGCAGGAATCATTTCAAAGGATCCCAGTGACAGATACAGAAATCTTATGTGGCTACCAAAAGATGCCTCAATTCAAACTATGTGCAGACCTGGAGTGATAGTCCAGGTATCAAGCAGCTAGTACAATGAGGGCTCCAGCCAGTCACAGTGAATATGGACTAAACATAAACATCTGTCTGGCAGGGGATTTAGCTCAGTGGTGCTGCCACCTGCCTTGCAAGTGCAAGGTCCTGAGTTCAATCTCCAGCACCCCCCATCCGCACCACAAAACACCATTACGTCTCTACTGGTTCATGAAGCTGAATATTAGTCCTGCTTCTACCCCTGTGTCTCCAATCAACACAAAAAATGAAAAATCTGGTTGGCTTAACTGGAGCCATGTGTGGCTGACAGCTCACCAGAATGCACAGTAAAGAAAAGTCCCCATAACAAGCAAAAAAAAAACCAAAAAAAAGCATGTGGGTTAAAGACAAAAACATTCCAATGTATACCCTGAATGTGCACACACACAAACATTCAGATTACATTTTACACATATGGTTCTGCAAATGTCATATTTCACTTAACGTAACACGGACAGTCCTCTGCAGAAGTGTACACAATGCTCAACCTGTTTCTGAAAACTGTGCAATACAGCACTAAATAACCATAATTTAGGCAATCTGCTTGGCAGGACACAGAACTATTTGTCATGATTTTTTAAATTCTGCAGTAAACATTACATACACCTCTTTATTCCAGTGGGATAAAATTCCTAGATCTGGAGTAATGATGACAGGTCGTGCCAGGTCAGTCTTCAAGAGAGGAAGGAGACAGATTGACACTAAACAAGGACCTGGTCTCTCTCGTGACACCAGGGCTGGCTATTACACACATTTTAGACTTTAATCCATCTAAGGGCCAAGGAATTTTGTTTTCATTTGTATTTTTTTTTTTGTCTTGACACGAGGCCGAGAAATTCAGAGTTCATGTACTTGAATGCTTCAGCAGTGTGTGACTTCTCTTTCTGTCGGCTTTGTCGATTTTCCTACACTGCTCTGTAGGAGGAACACTGTTCCTAACTGGCATATTTTATGGGCTGCATACGTTTTCTATCAGTTGACTTTTACATGTTTTTGGTGACTGGTTTTAAATTGTTGTGTAGGCCAACTTGTTTTATGCCTTTGTGGCTTCTAGGACCACATGTCCTACTTTGAAAGGCATCCCCTTACCTGTCTGCCTGTGCTTCTTACAACTGGAGGTGTGAATTAAACACAGTTGTCTCACCGTTACCTGTAAGGCATAAATGTGCTTCTTCCACTGGAGATGTGGACAGCCAATTATCAAAATATCGTTTCCCCAGTAACGAAATACCATCATGGCATTACAAACCTCATATGGAAAAAAAATTATTTCAAAAGTATTTTTGTTATTCTTGCCTCATTTCCATGTTTCAGAAAAAAACACCAAAGTAAACATATCTTACTGGGACTGTTTTCCAATCATAATTAACAAACACTTCAATACTGATTACTTAGCCTAAAAATCATTTCTCCCTTTATTGACATTGATACTTTTTAATTTCATTTTTCATATGTTACTTTTAGTCTGTTTTCTTGTGTGTAAGAGCTGTATCACCTCTGTGTAGTTTCCTCTACTCTATAGAGGAGCGGCTGGCAAATGTTCTGCTGAACAGTAACCGTCTGGGGCTCTGCAGGCCACAGTCTGTTACAGGTGCTCAACTCTGCTGCTGTGGTAAAAAGTGTGGCTGTGGTCAATAAAACTGTTACAAAACCAGCAGCAGACAGGATGCGGCTCATGAGCTGCAGTTTCTCAGGAAACCCTAGTGCAGGACTGGCTTCTGTGAAGGCACCGGCAGCTGGTGGTCAAGCCACGTGGTCTTTGTGAACGATTCAACTTTGCTGTCATAGCCCGAAAGCAGCCACAGACAGTAGGCAAATGAGTTGGGTGGCTGCCTGCCAATGAAACTATTTACAGACACTGAAATTTAAATTTCACAACGTTATATTAGAGATATTCTTTTCATTTTTAACCACTTGAAAATTTTTAAATTTTGATATAATGGGCCATAAAAAGTTCAGTGGTACTCTGACCACGAGTTACAGCTTGCTAACTCTGCTTTAGCTGTTTGCCCCAGCGTCCCTGAAAGTGAAACAGTATTCCCAGCTTCGAATGGACGAGTCCTGCTGTGTTCTCATTCTCAGGTAATGGCGGTAGTTTTAACTTTATGCATATAAATCTTTTTCTGGTTGATTTAGCCCACTTTTCCAGTTGGCCTACTCACATTCCATGGTGTGTAACCATGTCATCCAAGGCCACAGTCAAGTTGAATGTTTCCACCGTACACTCAAGTAGGCTGAATGAAAGGCCACGATACAACTTGGCACGAGGGAATCGAGTTTCAAATGAACACAGGAAAAACCTCACTGCCTCAAGTGCTCCATTCCTGATCTAAAATCCAATTTCTCCTAGCCTTGTCCTACTGCATCACTTTTTATTAGAGCTGACTGTGGTAACTTTTCAATGTTCAAAAATAATGTTTTTTTAAAAAAAACTAAGTTTGGTGGATACTTAGTATGACCAGGCACTGTGCTAGGCACATGCTATGCATTAACCACGTGACAGGATCACAATATGAGCTTTATGTGAGTGAATTACATTTCTGCTTTTTAAAACAATCAGTCTGACTGTAACGTGAAGAGCAAATTTGTCAGGGACCGAAACAGAAGAGCAGAGAGACGAGTCTGTAAGTGACTGGCGCGTATGCAGATGGCAGTGTCTTGGGACTATGACGAGGGCAGGGGGGAAGGGTTCCAGAGGAACTTGGGGAACAGCTGCACAGGACTTGATGCTGAAGACAAGGAGGGGCGAGTGGATGCCTCTCCAGAGTGGACTCGCTGGTGGTGGGCAAAGTGTGCAGCCTGCTTGAAGACTCTCCTGCTCTTCTTGTAGTCACAGGCTCGCTCTCCAGTGTGCACTCTCTTGTGTTGGTTGAGGTGTCCAATCTGGATAAAGGTTTTCCTGCACTCCTTACACTCATACGGCTTCTTCCCCGAATGAATCCTCTGATGCACACTCAGGGACTGGCGGTGGCTGAAGGCTTTGCCACATGCACCACACTCATAAGGTTTTTCTCCAGTGTGGCTCCTGCGGTGGCAAATGAGGGACGACTTTGTCTTGAAGGCCTTCCCACACTCAATGCACTCGTAAGGCCTCTGGCCGGTGTGCAGTCTCTGGTGCTGGGTGCACGACGAGTTGTCGCCGAAGGCCTTCCCACACTCCACGCACTTGTAGGGCTTCTCTCCGGTGTGAACCCTCTGGTGCTGGATGAGGTGCGTGGTCTGGCTGAAGGCCTTGCCACACTCCTTGCACTCGTACGGCTTCTCACCTGTGTGAGTCTTCTGGTGCTGGGCGAGGTGGGCCTTCTGGGTGAAGGCTTTGCTGCAGACCTTGCACTCATAGGGCTTCTCGCCCGTGTGGATCCTCTGGTGAGTGGCAAGCTGGGAGCTGATGCTAAAGGCCTTCCCACACTGCCTGCACTCAAAGGGCTTCTCGCCCGTGTGGATCCTCAGGTGACTCGCGAGGTGTATGTTCTGCCGGAACGCTTTCCCGCACTCTTTACACTGAAAAGGCTTCTCCCCAGAATGCACTCTTTGGTGCTGCGTGAGTGAGGCATGATGGCTGAAGGCTTTCCTGCAAACGTCACACTCGTACGGTTTCTCTCCAGTGTGAATCCTCTGATGGACGGTAAGGGAAGAGCCGTACCTAAAGGATTTGCGGCACACATCGCACTTGTAAGGTTTCTCTCCGGTGTGAATCCTCCTGTGCTGATTAAGCCCTATGTGATCGCTGAACGCCTTCCCACAGTCGACACAGTCAAAGGGCTTCTCCCCCGTGTGGTAGTATCTCCAGTGACGGACGAGGGACGTGTTCTGTATGAAGGCTTTTCCACACTCCACACACTCATAGGGCTTCTTGCCCGTGTGACACCTCTGATGCCGGGCGAAGGAGGAGCCGTCACTGAAGGCCTTTCCGCACTCGTTACATTTGTAGGGCTTCTCTCCGGTGTGAATCCTCTGATGGACAGTAAGGGATGAGCTCTGGGTAAAAGTTTTCTTACATTCATTGCATTTGAAAAGCTTTTTTCCCGCATAGATTCCTGTCTGTTTTATTAATACTGAGGGTTTTCTCAAACTTTTACCTGAAACGCCATTATGAACTCTTTCTTCCGAATCGTCCAAAGGGAACCATCTTCCAGATGTGTTATACACATGCTCTCTCCCCTGTGGGGGACCTCTGTTATGGGAAGCAGCTTCTTGCCTGAGTTGTATTTCTTGATCAGCTAGCTTCCTTGCAAACACACTCTCAGAATCCCAACAGCCTTGGAAAGTGGAACAGTCAAGGTTAGCGTCTGCAGTCCTGTCTGCGACCATCTTGGCATATGAGCTCTGCTTCAGAAATAATTCCTGGGTCTCATGTACAGATCGCTGGCCTGAAACACACCAAGAAACAATTATGTCCTTTATCATTTGCTAAACAAAGGAATATGGTAAAAGGAAAGTTGGGAACTAATTCACTAATGGCTAAACTAAGCAACATAAATTCTGCAGCTCTAAGAGCTATTCATTTAAATATTCATTCTACAATGTATACAAGAAAACTGAGCTCGTATTGGAAATTGAAAACAGTTAACTTTATGTGGAATCGGTCCCATATCCGGAATGGAAGGAGAGAGGCTGAGGTGTTCATTGCCTTCACCTTCTCACCCCCACCACGCTGTGGGCCCACAGGAGACCTGCAAGGTGTGCGCTCTGCCGGACACTTCCCCACATTCCTCACGCAGAAAAGGCTTCTCCCCGGAGTGCACTCCCGGATGTTACAGCATTGACAACATGGAACGCCGGGCCATCACGTCAAAAGAGTTGTTCGAAAGGGCACACCAGTGCACACTACACCCCTCCTATTCTAGGACGTCCACGAGGGTTACCTGAAAGCCCAGATGCCCGTCTACTGCCAGAAAATGGTGTCTTCATTAGCAACATTTTATGGGTGCATTTGGACAGAAGCTAATGGCCAGTCAATTGCTCAAGCTCAGTATTCACACAAAATCATTTTTGCATTTTCCTCTTTGCTTCTATAAAGCTTGAAAAAATCTTCACTTCTTCTCTAAACATTTCTTAATAAGACCCTGAAATTCTATTCTTTTCTTTTTAAAAATTTTTACTGGTACACGTTTGCAATTCATAATAATGACGTTCATCTCAGGGAACTGGTACATACTGGTGAGCCAATATTTTAACTTCCTGCCTGCTCCTCTTCCTCCCTCCCCAGACCCCTTCCCATCTCCACAAAGTCTACTCTGTTCTCCAGCTTTACTGATGAAGCAGATTATATATATGACGAATAAATGTATATATTCAAGGTGTTTTGATACATACAATATGCAGTAATTACCACAATGAAGCTATTTAATATATCCATCACCTTACGTAGTTAAAATTTTGTGTTGTGTGTGATAACAATACTTCAGATTCGCCTAGCAAATTCCAACTACACATTATCATCATCAACTGTAGCCACTGTGCTACACCCTGGGTCTCCAGAACTGCTCCATCATAGAACTTAAACTCTGTACCCTTTGTCCCACATCTTTCACCCAGGCCGACTCCAGGTAATCACTCTAAACTCTATTTCAGAGTTTGGCTTCTCTTAGCTCCCACCTATTTAAGTGCCATCATGCAGTATTTGTCTGCTTATTTCACTTAGCATAGTACCCTCTAAGTCCATGCATGCTGCATAGACCCTCAACCTAAACAAGATTTCATCGTAGACTTTCTTCCTTTTAAGGCTGAAGAATATTCTTATATCCACATATGCAGAGGCCATATTATCTTAATCCATTCGTCTTTGACAGACCCTTGGATTCTTTCCACATCTTAGCTACTGTGAACAGCACTGCACTGAACCTGGGAGCACCGACAGCTCCTCAAGGTGGTCTTTTCCTTTCTCTCGGATATAGCCTAGCGGTGGAATGCCTGATCATTTGGTAGTTCTAGTTCTAGCTTTCCGAGGAGACTTCGTATTGTTCTCACTAATAGCTATAGTCATTTACATTCCCACCAACAGTGTGCAAAGGTTTCCATTTCTCCCACCTTTACCCACATTTCAGTTTTCACTTTTTAACAATAGCTATCCTAACAGGTACGAGGTGATATCTATTACACTGTGAGTTGATTTCTCTCTCTCAATTGGTCATGCTAAGCTTCTCTGCATATGCTGTTGGCCATTTCATGCCCTCTTTGGAAAATGTCTGCCTAGGCCCTTCACCATTTCTCAGTTGGGTTATTCGGGTTTTGCTCTTGTATAAGTTGCTCACATATTTTGGACAGTGATCCTTTATTGGATACATGGTTTGCAAATACTTTCTCCCACTTCGTAGCTGCCATTTTGTTTTGTTGATTGTTTCTTTTGCTGTGCAGACTTTTTTTCCTTTCATATAATTCTATGTTTATTTTTGCCTTTGTTGCCTGTGCTTTTATCATATCCAGAAAATCACTGCCAAGAACAATATCACATACCTTTTCTCCTATTTTTTTTCCAAAGTCTAAAAATTTATTGCCAGAACAGCAAACTTCATAAAGACACCTTTAAAGTACACAGAAAATGACAAGCAAAATAAGCAGAAAACTTTGACCAAAGAAAAGCAAAGATTACTGCTATCATGCACATATAGCCAAATTAATACCAGACCAAACAACTGCATTAAAGAATATGTGGGTTATACAATCCATGCTTTTTCACCTAAAGGAAACACGCCAAAATACTTGAGTTTGGGTCAGGGTTTTTGGCAGGTGTATGGATAATTTTCTCCTAAGGCAGAAAATGGAAATATTAGATGAAAAACAGATAACTTAAATATCAGACTGTTTTCTTCTATTTTTAAACTTTTTTTAATGACTCTGTGACTTAAAGTTAAGTCTTTAATCCATGTTCAGTTGATTTTTACATACTCTACTAAAACTTTCTTCCTGTATGTAGACATTCACTTTCCCAAGACTAAACACAGAAGACATTATACTTTACCTACTAGGTGTTCTTGGTGTCTTTGTCAAAGATTGCTTTACCTTCTATGTGTGGGTTTATTTCTGGGATTTCTATTCTATCTCACTGAATATCTCACAGAATATCATGAGATATTCTATCTCATATCTCTATGTCTTATGCAAGTATCATTCTGTTTTAACTACTATAGTTTTGAAATATCTTAAATCAGAAAGAGTGATGTCTTCAGGCTATCTTGGTCAAGACTGCTTTAGTTATTTGGGATCTTTTATAATTCCACATAGACTTTAGGGCTGGTTGCCCCCACCCCTTTTTTTGGTACCAGGGATTGAACTCGGGTCCTTGCGCTTGTGAGGCAGGTGCCAGAACCACTGAGCTAAATCCCCAGCCCTGGCTATTTTTATTTTCTGTAAGCAATGCCATTGGGATTTTGATGAGAGCCATACCGAATCTGTAGATTACTTTGGGTAGTATTTGTACTTTTTCAATATTAATTCCACCGCCCCATAAACCTGGAACATATTTCCATTTATTTGTGTTAATATCTTTAATTTTTTATCAATAATTTATAGTTGTTAGTGCACAAATCTTTTACTTCCTTGGTTAAATTTGTTCCTAATTATTTTATTTTTACAACCAAGTATTTTCATTTTAATCATTATTATAAATGGCAGTTTTTTAAGTTCTTTTTCAGATAGTTCATGTTAGTATAACAGAAATGCACCCCATTTTTGCATGTTGGTTTTGTATCCTACATCTTTGCTGAATTCAATTATTAGGCCTAGCACTGTGTGTGTGTGTACTGTCTTTTAGGTTTAACACCTATAAGACCATATCACCTGCAAACATAGGCAATTTGTCTTTTTTTCACTTGGAATGTTTGTATTTCTTTTTCTTATCTACTGTTCCAGCTAGGATTTCCAGTAGTATGCAGAATAGAAGAGGTAAAAGTAGGAATCCTTGTCTTATTCCTGATCTTAAAGAAAAAGCTTCCAACTGTTCACCAGTCAGTATGATGTTAGCTGTGCATCTTTCAAATAGGTCTTTGGTTTGCTGAGGTACATTACTTCCATACTTAAATTGTTGAGATTTTATTATAAAAGAATGTTGAATTTTGTTAAATGCTTTTCCTTTATCTACTGAGAAACTTTAGTTTCTCTTTTTTGAAGAGATTATTTTTATAATAATATTGAACACTAATATTTAACTATTTGCCATAATAACAAGTATTTGTTTAATCTCAGATTATATGCTTACAGGGAAGAGTGACTGTGCCCAAAGCCTTTTCATAAAGTCATTTAGCAGGTACTGGAATTTTACACACACAGAGCTATATCTGGTTTCTAGGGAGGTGATGCAGTACATCAAATGTTTACAAAAAGATGTTCTTTTATGAAAGATGTTTTTAAAAATAGAAGTCTTTTATAGTATCTAAAGACTGACAGCTTTCTGCCTTAAATCCTAACAAAGGATGTCGACTTTTAGAACTTCCACTCAAAACCACACTGAAGGCTATCATCAGAACAATTAGAAATAGCAATAAAAGTCATCCAAATTAGGGAAGAAGTAAAACTATCTCTATTACAGGTAACACGATGCTATACAGGGAAATCATGAGAAATCTACAAACAAGTACTAAAGCTGATTCATAAACTCAGAAAAATGAATTCAAGATCAGTGTACCAAAGTTAGTTCTTTTTCCATATCATATGCATTAATGACTCAAAAAAGGAAATTATGAAAACAATTTCATGAAAAATAGCATTAAGAGAATTAGAATAATTAGGAATAAATTTAACCATGGAGGTGTTGAAGACTACAAAACAGGACTGAATGAAACAAGAAGATTGAAATGCATGGAAAGATGCCTTATGTCTTTCTGCAGGAGGACATGATAATGATAAAATGATCATTATCCTAAAGTAATATACAGATTCAGTGCAATCTCCACAAATCCCAATAGTCTTTTGTGCAGAAATGGAAAAGCTAACCCTAAAACAATCAGAAAAACAGTGTAGTTAAGGGACTACACTTCCTCTCTTTAAAACCTACTACCAATTAAGCATTCATAGCAGTGAGGTCTGGCATAAAGGCAGACACAAATCAGTGGGACAGAACTGGAGCTCAGACATAAACCCAAACATTAGGCCAACTGGTGTCTTAAGAAATTATTTTTATATTTTGTTTTTATTGTTTAGTTCAATAATTTTATCAGGAAAAACCCAACATGAAAATGTCCCTCTCAGCCAATTTTTAAGTACACAAGACAGATACTGACTAGAGAAACAATGTGGTGTATAGCAGATTTCCAGAACTTTATTCATCTTGCTTATCCGAATCTCTATGCCCATACATTAGCAACTCCCCATTTCCTCCTCCCCAGCCATTACCAATCCCCTCTCCACTACGCATTTGAGTCTGATTACCTGAGATACTACATTATGAGTGAATCATGTGACGTTTCCCTGTGTCTGGATGTAGCATAGTGTCCGCCAGCTTTACCCGTATCGTCACATACTGCATAATTTCCTCTGTATGTCCAGCTGAGTAACCCTGCATCGCATGTACTTACTGAATTTCCCTTAACCATTCACCCGTCGGTGGACACTCAGATTTGTCTCCACATCTTTGCCATTATCAACACTGCTGCTATGAATATAAGAGAGCAACATTTCTTCAAGATCCCGATTTCAGCTCTTCTGGACAACGTAGCAGCGAGACTTGAACCACCAGTGGCACACGCCTGACTCCCATCGAATGGCATGGCACAGTCGTCATGCATGTGCCTGCCACTGGTGGTAATGGTAAGAGCCACCTGACAGGATAGTCACGCATGCATCACCAGTGGTTCAAGACACCCAGCAGCAAGACATGAATCATGGCGTCTTCATGAACATGTTAAATAAAGCACAGTACAGCCATATGTTGAAGTACTACTACACAGCGATTCAAAAAATGAAACAGAACATATAGGAAGTTTTCTAAGGACACAAAGAAAGGAACTATCATAAGTGTACAAAAACTTTTAAATTATAGCTATCATAATTTTAAAAGACCTAATTAAAATACAAATTCTTATTACCCTGAAAAATAGTTTGAGACAATTCATCAAATATGTTTCAATATAAAAATCATGGGACTGTTAATAAAATATTTAATACATAAATACTGAAGGGTGCAAATGAGGGACGTTTTACCGAAAGAGAAAAACAAAATTCAACCTCTTTCATAATGAAATAATTATTTTTGGCTACATAATCTTTCACTAAATAATGAGCAGAAATTGGCATATAAATAAGAATGCTTTCAAGAAACAATTAAACCTGCACTTCTACTCCTTGCTAACTCACTGAGAACAGCCGATCTGAGAGCAGAACCGTTGCTCATAAACGGACACAGCAAGCCCTACAACGAGCTGATTTCATTGGCATGAAGAAACCTGCCCCAGTATATTTAATACCAAGCAAGAGGAAGTCAGCTGAGCTATGAGACAGTGACATGGAAGGTACACGAAAACATCTACATGTATGACTGAAAACACGTTATAATTCCTACTGTGTGCAAAGTATGTATTCACTGTACTTTATGACCTCTCAAAGAGTCACATGTTGCCATGTTGCTAGTTTTCTATTTTTTTCTAATAAGTGATAGAATTACATTTCTATAAACCCCTGTTTTCAAAGGAAATTGGAAAGAAGTAGAGACTTTCTACCTCTGTCTTCTCTCGATGACTTCTGCCCCTCCTGTGCCACTGAAACCTGGGAGCCACGGGGAGTCACATCACCTCTGTCTGTACAGCCCTAGTGAAAAATCTGCAGCTCCACCATGCAAGTCACCCATGCACATCTCATCCCCTGCGCCACAGCAATTCTTCGTGTTTGCACGTGTGTGTGCATCTTCTCTTTCTCCAACTGCCTGCTCCACCAAGCCAGTGGCTCACTGCCTAACCTTCACCCGTGCTTCTCACAGGACTGGCTGCAGGATGAAAGGAGTGGCCGTTTAACCACCAAAGAGCGACCTTCGGAAGATGCTCAGGAATGCATCGGGATCAGGAAAAGTCACTTACACTGAGTGGTTACCTACATCTCAGCAGGCAAGAAAGAAAGCAACACCACAGAGAAGAGTGTTAGAGAGAAGGGGCAGAGGAGGAAAGAGCAGTTATGAAATCCCAGAGTCTGGTTTTATCTCCAGACCCAGAAGACTTGGTCCAGCTGCCAAGTGTCCACTCTTGGACCACAAAAGCTAAGCTGTCCCCTGCGGTGGCTTCACCACACCACTGTGAACACTCACCTGGGAGAAAGCCTGCCGCCAGCTCTCTCTGCACGACCCAGCGCTCCTGCCCCGACTCCAGGAAAGCCACTAAATCTGGCTTAGAAACACAGTGACCTGCACAGGTGAAAGACAGAGGATCTGGTTCACTCCTGGTGTTCTAAAATCAAGGAGCTGGTCCCTGGTTTTGAAAGAAAAGCGTTAACGCAGGGAGAATTAGGAGAACAGATGAGGAGGAGCTCTCAAAGACACAGAATGACATCAACTTTGAACCCCAACAAGGCCATGCTCTCGTCTTAGGAATCAGGAGCAAAACTTCAGGAAACCCTTCTCCCTTCTTCACACTCACATCTGAGGTCTGAAAATGGGTCCTGAAGGCAGACATGCATCTGGGAGAGGGGCATCCTTACCTAGGGCCCCCAGGCCACCACGGCTCTCCCATAGCACAGTCTTACAGAAACTCTTCTGCACTGGCTCCAGCTGCGAGGCGAAGTCTACAGCCACATTCGCGATGGTCACCATGCCCTGACAGGAGCAAACATGTTCTCGATCAGCTCTCCCTCGGGAACCCGCACGGCCCGAAGCAGGTCACAGTGACTGCACTTGCTATATCATACATGCTCCAGAAAAACAGGAGAAACGTGAGATCCTGCTCAAAATCTCATATTCACTAGTCAAACATTTCTTAAACAGGCTTGTGATCCATTCCAACTCCCCACCTGGCCCCTACATGGACCAAGGCTGCGTAAATCTTTCTTCTAGTTCCACATCTGTCCACAGGAAATACTGTATCCAGGTGGAAATTCTCCACCGCTCGTGGGGCTACTGTATTTCTCTCGCCTGAGGTTACTGCCTGACTCACTGGCTGTGTCTCGAACAGAGAATCATAATTCCAGCTCTCCCCCAGCAGAGAGTACTCCAGGCTGTAGTTTGTATGCCTCTCTGCTCCCGCTGCCCCGGACAACTTCTCCTCAAGTGAGTCCTTCTTTGGAGGTAACTCCTTGGTCTCACACACAGCTTTCCAATCTAGAAGATAATAAGAAAGCAAACATTTCACTTATTATGTGTTACTAGGATGAAAACTTATAAAATGCAACCAGGTGAGTTAAAACCTTCAAAAGAGACACGTCATTTTGGAAGCTTTTGACATGATCAGCAATGTTCCAGAATTTATACGGCTACAGTCCTAAGGACACAGCATGTTTGCTCAACTGAATGTTGAGCAAGTAGCACACATTATGTTTTTCACAAAAGACTGGAAAAAAATTAAAAGATAAAAGAGCTCAAAAGGTTCAAATCTGAGATAGGGTGTTGCTAATGTAAACAAAAAGGAAGCAGCAGCTATAAAGAAGAATGCAGGCTGGGTGTACTCCGGAAGGCTAAGGCAGGAGGACTGCTGCTTCAAACCCAGCCTGGCAGCTCAGTGAGACGCCGCAAAATTCAAGGAAAAGAAGAGGAAGGAGGAGGAGGGAGAGCGGGCAGAGGCTGGGGTGGGAGAGGAGGAAGGAAGAAGAACAACCACAACTGGGTATGCAGAAGACAGGAAGTTAAATCACCAGTACCACCAAAAAAAGAAAAAGAAAGAAAGAAAGAAAAGGGCTATATGAGCCCTATTTCAGCTTTATTCAAATAGAACTCCTTCTGATCCTTTCTGTTTATTTGGCCTCCTTGCTATGACAATGCTAACTCATAAAAGAACACATGATAGCCTTAAAAAATGCAAGTCTTCACAAAAATATCATCCTTGTCCCCTGTGCTCAATGCCCTCCACGGACTGTCGACCTGTAGCAGAGCAACCTGTCCAGCTCTGTTGGTGGGAACTCCTGTCAAGCACGACTTGAACCAGGAGGTCTTAGTCACCATTTCCTGTTACAGTGAAGCCTCCCAGGACTCTGGGAATTCTGAGTCCTTGCCCCACTCTGCTGTGGTTCCAGAAATAACATTGTGCTTGGGCTCTCGGGCTGTATTCCCACACAGCAGACAGCACCGCAGCATCTTTAAAAATGTTCCACTGAGTCCGGACCACTGCTCTTTACTTGTGAGGGCCATTCACCCCGCTGCATGCTGCCTACTGCAGTAAGAAGTCCACTTGCACCCAAATCTACGGCATTCCAGCCTAAACCCACCTCCTAACTTACCTTTTTCTTCTAATTCTAAGGCTTCTGTTCAAGACTCTGGCCTCGCTTCGCTGGCTTAAAATTGTGAATGACTTTTCTTCTTCCCTGTGGGTCCCTGTCTTCTCTTTCCTTCACAGAACAGCAGCTTCTAACATACTTCAGTGATGCAAAGATCTGTGTCATCTCCCCTGGGAGAGAGCTGGGTCTTTAATGCATATGCTCATCTGGCCACTAGCACCTGAAGGCCTTACTGAAGTCTCGACTCATAAAGACAGGAAAAACTACATCGTACACACCTGCATCTACAGCAATACAACCCACAGCAGCTACATCTTGGAAGTGGCCTGTATGTCCACCAACAGATGAATGGATGGAGTGCACAGTGGAGTACTACTCAGCCACGAAGAAAGAGAAACTGAGTCATTTACAGGAAAGTGGACGTGCCTTAAGACTATGTTAAAGGACACACAAGCTTGAATGTCACATGATTTCTCTTATCTGAGAAACACAAAATATACAGAGCAAAATAAAAGATAGTAGGAAATAGGGAGACAGAGATCTTTTGCTAATAGGAAGGGGACCAAGAGAAGGAAAGAGGGGAGGAAAGGAGAAGGGGATAAGAAAATGAGGGTGTGTTATGTGCTGAACCAACCCCCCACAATGGACACAATCATTACGTACTGCAAACATGTGCTAATAAAAAGAGTCTGAAAAGAAATTACATCAGAATAAGCAAGAGAGATGTTTGTAAAAGAACAGAGATTACATAATTGTGAGAGATAAAGGGCAGCAGGGGCTGGAGCACAGGAAAGCAAGGGCCTCAGAGGGGAGCCGTGTTAGAAAGCACAGGGAAGGCTGAGGCAGGAGGATCGCTGTGAGTTCGAGACCAGCCTGGGCTACATAGTGAGTTCCAGGTCAGGCTCAATTACATAGTGAGACCCTGTCTCAAAAACCAAAAACAAAAACAAAAAACAAAACAAGAAAGCAAGGGGAGACAAGCTGGGGCCTTGGCTTCCCAGGCCACGCCAGGCTCAGGAGCCGTCTGTTGACAACATCGCCCATCAGAGGCAGCCGGGTTGGCAGCAGCTCTACCCTCTCTGTGCCCACACTCACCAGGGTACTGGCTTCCTGTCCGCTTTCTTCTCGCCACCCAAGGATCTTGTCCTTGCTCCAATGAGGAGATCATATCAGGTTTAGAAGCACAGAGGCCTGGACACATAAGAAGACCAGACTGGTCATACTGTGGATCTGTCCACACCTAGGCAACAGTCCCCCTGGCTCGCTGGAAGAAGGCAGTGCCCTGGGCAAGAGGTCAGTGTGGGGCAGGACCCTTACCGAGCGACGCCAGGTTCCAGTAGTTCTCCAACATCACCTTCCTATACAAACTCCTCTGCGTGCTATTCAGCCATTCCCACTCCTCTTGGGAGAAATCTACAGCCACATCCCCAAATGTCACCGGGCCCTGAAATGACATAACCACATTCTTTCACAATTGGCACTCATGGCTCAAGAGCTGTTACCAAATGAACTGTGCCCCACCCTCCATTCCTAAGTTGAAGTCTTTGTTCCTTGGAGACAGGGCCTCTGAAGAGGTAAAGTTATACCAGGTCAAGTGGGTGGAACCCTCATCCAGACAGGACTGAGGAGAGCTTCAAGCAGAGGGTGAGACAGCAGAGGTGTGTGCACATGCTGTGTGAGGTCACAAGGAGAAGAGGACAATCAGCAAGCTAAAGAGGGGCCTCTGGAGAGGCCAATGCCACCGACACCTTGGTCTTGACTCCTAGCTTCCAGGACTGTGAGAAAAGAGGTTTCTGTGCTTTGACACCCAGTTGGTGGTCTATTGTGGCATCCCTACCACCTACAGCGGGGTCTAACGGTCACTTTGTCTTCGTTTCAATAAGAGATGTACAGGTAGTTATTTGGAGAGCTAGAGAATCACTGGACAGCTTGCTTCCTTGCTTGCTTTCTGTCTTGTGCTGTGGACTGGACTGAGGACCTAGCACATTAAGCACACACTCTACCCGCATCTTCCAAAAGCAGGTCTTAGGGCACAACCTCAGCATAAGAGAATGATATGGAGACCACCAAACCCTTGGGGAGCTGCAAGGCTGGGTGATGAAAGGAGAAGAAACACCCACAAAATACTCACTACCAATTCCAGTCAACCAGACTAACTTGCTCCACACTCAGCAGGAACACTAGAGCACTTTCCAGCCCGACGTGTGCCAGTAACCCACAGCAGCCTGAGCAAGACACAACCTGGGGATGAACCTCCAAAGATCAACAAAGCCAATCTCCCGGTTGGGGTCCAGGGTTTCTGTTTCACTTCTAGTGTTGACTGAATGTTCATTAAAACAAAACATAATCATATTCCTTTTTCTAAAATAAAAAGGAGTGTGCAGGATATAAAATCAACATTTAAAAAAATCAATAGCTTTTCTGTATACTAATAATGAACAATCCAAGAAAGAAATCAGAAAAACAATTCCATTTTACAAGCATCAAAAAATTACCCAGGAGCAGACTGGGGATTTAGCTCAATGGCACCGCGCCTGCCTCGCAAGCATACGGTCCCAAGTTCAATCTCTGGTACATAAAAAACAAAAAAACCCCACAAGAAATTACATAGGAGTAAACCTAATCAAGAAGGGAAAAGAATGCTACAATAAAAACTACAGATGAAGAAAGAAATTGAAGAAGACACTAGAAGATGGAAAGACCTACCACGTTCATGGACCTGCATGGCTATATTACCGAAAGTAACCTGCAGATTCAATGCAAAATACCAGTGGCATTCTTCATAGCACCAGAAAAAACAGTCCTCAAACTCATACAGAAAGATAAAAAGCAGAGAATAGCTAAGGGAATCCTAAGCAAAGAGAGCAATGAAGGCAGCATCACAATGTCCAGCTTCAAATTATACCACAAAGCCATAGTGACAAAAACAGCATGGTACTGACACAAAAATAGACACAGACCAATGGAACAGAGCACACAGAAACAAGTTCATACAACTACAGTTATCTGATTCTTGACAGAGGAGTAAAAAATATACATTGGAGAAAAGAGAGCCTCTTTAACAAATGGTGCAGAGAAAACTGGATTTCAATAAGTAGATTAAAACTAGATAATCAATTCAAAACAATCAAAGACCTATGTACAGACCATGTATAAGACCCCAAACTGTCAAGATGCTGGAAGAAAACTCAGGGGAAACACCTAAAGCCATAGGCACAGGTAAAGACTTCCTGAATAGGACTCTATGAACACCATGCAAACACAGCAAGAATCAACAAATGGGGGGCTAGGGATTTAGCTCAGTGGTTCCGCCACCTGCCTTACAAGTACAAGGTCCCGAGTTCCATCCCCAGTACCAAAAAAAAAAAAAAAAAGTTTCAACAAATGGCACTATACCAAACTAAAGTTTCTACACGTCAAGGAAAACAACCAACAGAGTGAAGAGAGAGCCTGCAGAGTAGGAAGAAATCTTTATCAGCTACTCTCCTGATAGATGATTAGTATCTACAATATATAAAGAATTCAAAAAACTTAACAGAAAAAAAGTCAAATAACCCAACTACTAAAAGGGCAAATGACCTGAATAGACACTTCTCAAAAGTACAAATGGCCAATAACTACATAAAAACATGCTCAACATCTTCAGCCTTCAGGCAAATATAAATCTAAACTACACTGAGATTTCACCTTCCCCCAGTGACAGTGGTTATCAGCAAGAATACAAACTTGAGGATGTGGGGAAAAGGAACCATCTACACTGCTCATGGGAATGTAAAGTAATACAACTATGGAAATCAGGATGGTGGTTCCTCAAAAAACTAAAAACAAAAATTCCATATGATCCAGCTATACCATTTCTTGGTATATTCTGGAAGAAATTAAAGTCAGGGTACCATAGATATGCCTGCATACATATGTTTATTAGAGCATAATTCACAATTGCCAAGATATAGAAACAGCCTAAGTGTTCATCAGCTAATGAATGGATTAAAAAAAATTTGTGGTCCATATACACAATGAAGTATCAATCAGCTGTGCAGAAGAAGGGAAATATGTCATCTGCAGGAAAACAGATGGAAACAGTGATCATTATCTAAGCAAAATAAGCCAGAGTTAGAAAGACAAGAGTCCCAGGCTTTCCCTAATATGTTTAAACTAAAAAAAGATAACATCAAAGAAGTAGAACAGAGACTGTTACTAGACAAGAGGAACAGAATAAAAGGGAGGAAGCAGAGTGTACAGAGAAGGGTAATGGGGATACAGAAAAGTTATTAAACATGATATTGATGTGAATTTTTTAAGGTGAAAGGTGTCTACCAACTGTTAAGTTAAACAACTTTGTACAAAACAGTATATATGACATTGCCAATTTTTTTATTTTTCAGAAATGTATGCAGGTGTCAGGAAATTAACTTCTATCTCTCTAGGACTGAGATGTTGAGCACATTTTTCTTTTTGTAAGAGTAGTTTCTGATGTGCTACCTTAAAATATTTCTAAGTCATGTATTAATCTTTACAGGCAGCATTTGAAGTAGATCCTATTATGTTCCTCATTCTCAGATGAGAAGGTTACACGGTGGTCAAATGCAGAGCAGCATTTGAGCCCAGAGAGCCTGGCTCCTTAGTCCACACTTGTAACTACTACACTGCTCTGCCACTATTCAGATGCATGGCTCTGACTGTGGCAGTAACACCGGATGTCCTTCCGTCCTAACTGGGAAACAAGACCCACGAGAAAACAACATGATTGTCCAATACAATTAACTGCTTCTGATGTCTAGTCTAAATCAACCTGCATAATCAATGCCACAAAACATTCTGAAATGCACAGGATCCGTTCTTATTTCTTCGCTGTGATCCAAACATGTAGATTTTCAAATGGGTTCACATTTTTTCACACTACCTCATCAGGAAAATACCACACAAGCACACAATCTGCATCTGATACTAGCATTTGACTCAGTGCCTTAACTTGGTTTCTTAACATACATATGGAATAGGAACATTAAAACCATGCAAACCAATTAAAAAAAAAAACAAAAAAAACAGCAAATCTGTCCTTACAGAAAAATTCTTTTTCTACTTTAAAATTTCAGGGAAAAAAATGAGTAAAAAGTATTACTGTAGGAAAAAATGTATCAGAAAATGTTTGGTTCAATCCAATTCTGTTAGTTTAAAAACATACTAGAAAATTATTTGATAATAATTATTTCTCTTGGTGGCCTATGTTGGGGGGAGCATCAATTCTAGCACTGCTGCTATTCCGTCCACATATGATTTGGAAGTACTCTCATCTCACCTGAGTTTAGGAAACCCTAATCCACCAGGAAAGAAAAACATCTGGGAATGAAGTCACATGAAAGAATCAGCAAAGAAGCACACTTTCGGGTTTAGGAATGATCATTCTAACACCACCACCACTGAACACTGACCACAAGAGAACTTTGTACGATATTCAAACAAACATTCACCCAACAAATATTTTCTGGATCAGGCACTGGGGCAAAACCGCCCCAAATCTCTGCATTAGAAACATGAGAATGAGATAAGAGAAAATAAGATAAATTACGTAGAGCAGCATGGTGAAAAGTGCTATGGGAAAAATAAGAGGGATTTGAGGAACTTGGAGAGGCTTTGGGGCTTTAATGCTGTGACCAGGGAAACGAGAAGGCAATTTTTCAGAAAAAAGAGAGCCACGGGGAGTGAAGCAGCGGGGGTGGGAGGGGCTCGGCAGTCACCTTGAGGCTTCCCGCCTTCTTCAGGAAGCCCCGGGAAGGTTCTGAGCAGCAAGTACCACGACCTGGAGTTTGAACATACCCTGTGGCTGCGGCACTGAGAGCACAGCGTGGGCAGGAGCGGGTGGCTACTGAAGCACAGAACCTAGAGGCCCAGGTCAGAAACGACGAGGATCCCAACAGGTGGGCCTCCTATAGTCCTGCTCACTTCCGTAACTTTTCATCCACAGACTGGGAGCTCCTCTGAAGTGGGCACTGAACCAACAGCCGAGGAACAGGCGCCACGTGCTCCCAAGGAGCAGGTCCTGCTCCTTGAGTCCCTCTGAGAAAGGGGAGGAGGTGGGGCTCAGTGAACACTGACTGGGCTGGAGGGGAGGCAGGCAAGAACCTGGGCAGCTTGAACCTATCTATTGTGGTTTCCATCTAGATGACTCCCCGCCAAATCTCACACGTCACCGCGGGGCTGGGAGCGGTGACTGGATCAGGAGTGCGGGATCCGCATTAATGGCTCAGGAGTTCAGCGCTAAAGGCGGTGTCGGAAGGTGAAGCCCGGTTGGAGGTGGGTCACGGGGCGTGGCCTGGACGTGCGCATCTCCCTCCTTCTTCCCTTGATCTTTCCCTGCTCCATACCTGCCAGGCCAGCAGCAATTCTCCTCTGCCAAGCTGCCCTGCCTTGCAGCTAGCCAACAATGGACCCCAACTGTGAGCCAAAAATAAACCTGTCCTCCTTTAAACTGCAGGTGTGTTTTGTCTCCGCGACCAGAAAGCAACTGAGACGCTATCCCTACAGCCCATCATTCACAATCTGAGGAGACGGAAACCAGCACACAGGACAGGGTTCTTAAGATGAAAACTCTTGAGAAAACACCCATCGTTAAGTACTGACAAGCAAGAGTATTTCAGAAAGGAGGGAGGAAATGCCAACTCACCTGGGGCATGACTTTAAGTTTGGCTCCCTCCGGCCTGGGGTTTCTCTCCTGGAGGGCAGCGTCCCAGGAAAGCAGCGCTGGGGGAGAGAGACCGAGCCTAAACAAGATTCCCACGGCACCAGCCTGGAGACGTCCCTGTCTGCAGGAACAGGGACAAGTGGGACCCTTCACTGGCCCACCGAGGGGCTGGGGTCACGGAAGTGAGGACGCGCAGCAGGCCGACCCGGGAGAGGCGAAGACCTTCCAGCCTGCTGCTGACCCCTGACTTCCAATCTTCAGATTCCCCTGACCAGCCTGGAGGACCGGGGCCCCGAGAGGACGAGGTCGTCGCCGTCTGCCCAGCGCGACACCTGCCAGTCTCACCTCTGTGCAC